ATGTACATTAATGCCACTCATATGCAGATAGAATCATAGAATCCCTACAGTATGGAACAGTCCATTCGGCCCATCAAGTCTCCAGCGTCCCTCTGAAGAGCATCTCCTCCTCTCTCCCCTCCCCCCCCAATCTACCCTCCTACCCTGTCCCTGTAACCCTGCATTTCCCATGGCTACACCACCTAACGTATGTGTCCCTGGACACTGGCCATGCTAAATTACCCATAAACTGCACATCTTTAGACTGTGGGAGGAAATCGGAATGTCTGGAGAATGTGCAAACTCCACACAGACAGTCCCCTGAGGCTGGCATCAAACCCAGGTCCCTGGCAATGTAACGCAGCAGTGCTAACAACTGAGCCACCATGTTGCCCAGATCTCTGAGATGCTGTCAATGCAGAAATATCATTGCTACAGTATCTTGTATGACTGTGGCAGATGACAAGTAACCTTGAATCTTGAAATTATGGATGAGCAAGGTAGAAAGATAGAATGCAAAACCTTTGGTAAACAAGAAACCAGAAAAATTCACAGTACTAAGCAGGCAGAACATAGATTCTTGTTGATAAGTCAGGAGTCTGGATTTGCATCAAAAAGAAGTTCCAAATTAGATCTCAGAAGTGTTGCCAATCTCATGTTGACTATATAACCTTAGCTTCTGTCCTGATTTCAGTAAAATAATTAAAGTAGCATTTTCTTTTATGCAAATATGTGGGCATTTCTGTTTTAAAATATTTGAATGTCATCTGGATTCACAATAGACGTGGACGGTGGGTAAATTTGCTTGGAAATCTCTCAGCCCTGAAAATCTCGTATGTAGCCCTGCAAATTCTCAGGCAGCCAAGAAATTCAAGAAAGGTTACCCTGTGTACTTTGATTAGTACTATCGAAATTTAATCTGTGAAGAGATGCTTCAGTCACAGATTCTGTCACTCCAACTTTGCTGCTTCATCTTCTGATCATAAGTCCTCTCCCACTTTTTTTTCCTGATTTAAATCTTTGACCTTTTGGGTGTTTGATTTTCTTGGGCATTAGCATATCCTGGAAGTTGGGCAGGGCTCAGTCCATTGCAACGGTAAGTTAACCCAGCAACTTGTTGAGCTCGTTGTCATTGCAGATGGCGAGCTGGAGTTGGCAGGAACAGACGCAAGTTATTGACCCCAGGGCTTGTTACCAGCCAGCTTCAGGATCTTGATCCCAGTTAGGAGCTTCAGCCTCTCCATATCAGTGTAGTTACCCTTCTGTGTTGTACAATAGCCAGTGGAGGTGGTACTGGAGACTGACTATTGTGAAGTATATCTTGGTTTGGTCTGAGCAGCTACTAGCCACTATGTTCGCGCGCTCCACACTATCTCTGTCCTATAGTTGTTCCCCTGCCTGGGAGGCTTGCCAAGCACTGGCATCAGGCCCTGGGGGATCCATGTATAATTGTGACCAGGCTGGGTTTTGACTAGAGATAGTAGGAACTGCCAGTGCTAGAGAATCTGAGATAACAAGGTGTAGAGCTGGATGAACACAGCAGGCCAAGCAGGAAAGCTGATGTTTGGGTCTGGACCCTTCTTCAGAAATGGGGGAGGGGAAGGGGATTCTGAAATAAGTAGAGAGAGAGGGGAAGGCGGATGGAAGATGGATAAAGGAGCAGATAGGTGGAGAGGAGACGGACAGGTCAAGGAGGCGGGGATGGAGCCAGTAATGGTGAGTGTAGGTGGGGAGTTAGGTTGGAGGTTGGTCAGTCAAGGGAAGACGGACAGGTCAAGCGGGTGGAGATGAGGCTGGTAGGTAGGAGGTGGGGGTGGGGATTGGGGTGGGAGGAGCGGATAGGTGGGAGAAAAGATGGACATGTCAGGGAGGCGGGGATGAGTTGGGCTGGTTTTGGGATGCGATCAGGGGTGGGGAGATTTTGAAGCTTGTGAAGTCCACATTGATACCATTGGGCTGCAGGGTTCCCAAGCGAACTATGAGGTGCCATTCCTGCAACCTTCGGGTGACATCGTTGTGGTACTGGAAGAGGCCTAGGATGGACATGTCGTCCAAGGAGTCAGAGGGGGAGTTGAAGTGGTTCGTGACTGGGAGGTGCAGTCATTTGTCGCGAACCGAGTGTAGGTGTTCCACAAAGCGGTCTCCAAGCCTCCGCTTGGTTTCCCCGATGTAGAGGAGGCCACATCAGGAACAGCAGATACAGTATACCACATTAGCAGATGTGCAGGTGAACATCTGATAAATGTGGAAGGTTTTCTTGGGGCCTGGGATGGGGGCGAGGGCAGAGGTGTAGCGGCAGGTGTAGCACTTCCTGCAGTTGCAGGGAAAAGTGCCAGGGTGGTGGGGCTAGTGGAGAGTGTGGAGAGACAAGGGAGTCACGGAGAGAGTGGTCCCTCTGGAAGGCAGATAAGGGTGCGGAGGGAAAATGTCCTTGATAGTGGGGTCAGAGTGCAGGTGGCGGAAGTGGCGGAGGATGATGCGTTGGATCCGGAGGTTGGTGGGGTGGTACATGAGGACAAGGGGGGATTCTGTTTTTGTTGTTATTGCGGGGAGGGGGTGTGAGTGATGAGTAGCGGGAAATGCGAGAGATGCGGTTGAGGGCGTTTTTGACCACTGCGGAGGGGAAGTTGCACTCCTTGAAAAACGAGGACATCTGGGAGTGGAATGCCTCATCTTGGGAGCCGATGCGGCGGAGGCAAAGGAATTGGGAATGACATTTTTGCAGGAAGGTGGGTGAGAGGAGGTGTATTCTAGCTGTGGGAGTCGGTAGGCTTGAAATAGATATTGGTTTCTAGGTGGTTGCAGACATGGAAACAGAGGTCCAGGAAGGAGAGAGTGTTTTTGGAGATGGTCCAGGTGAACTTAAGGTTGGGGTGGAAGCTGTTGGTAAAGTGGATGAACCGTTCGAGCTCCTCATGAGAGCACGAGGCGGCGCCAATACAGTCATCAATGTAACGGAGGAAGAGGTGGGTGATAGGGCTAGGATTTTGACTAGGATGGGTTTGCACCTTGGGTAGTCGGCACTGGTAACCAGCAGTCCACACTGTTTATGATGTCACTGTGTCCCTCACCCACCGCAGTGCAGAGTGAATAAAAATGGTACAATTTTTTAACAAATCCTCTTTATGGGATCCAGAAGCCACTGACAAGGCTAGCATTTATCACAAAATCCTAACTGCTTTTGAACTGCAGAGTTTGCTAGGTCATTTCAGAGGGCAATTGAGAGTCAACCACGTGACTGCATCTGGAGACAAATGAATGCCATATTAGTAGAGATGGCAGGATTTCCCTTCCTAAAGGAGATTGGCGAACTAGATGTGTTTTTACAATAATCAATTATGGTTTTAGGGTTCTGAGATTAGTATTTTTTGCAATGTCATGTTTTATGTACTTAAATTAATTTAAGTTCCTGCAACATTATCTTGTAGTTGAGTCTTACTTAGTTCTGTTCAGTAACCTGATAATTTGAACTGATACTTCTAACAAGGTGTCATAAACTAGAATTGAGTTGGCAGGGTTGTTTTTCATCCTGCAGTGAGAAAACATTATCTAAGTTGTCAGTGAAGCACTATTGGTTTCCAGTTGAATTTCACAAATAGATTATAACATTGAATCTTATTCCTTATGGTAAAGTTTTTCTGTAGATTTACAACCCATGTTCTTTTTGTATACCCTGTAATTTCTGCTTCATTGCACTAAATAGTTGGAATCTGTTTATATAGACAATAGTTTAGTATTGTAAATTGGAAGATTTATTTGGAATCCAAATTTGAGAGAAAATACCGAGGAACTAAGGAAGAGCAGTATCCTCAGCTCCTCGTGAAAATAGAAAACAAAACTCCTGAGAAACCAAGAAGTATCCCTCAAGAAGAACTATTGAAATTTTTTTCCAACTCCTGAATATCCTTGAGTTCATTGAGACCTTGGTATCGATATTATTTCATTAACTAAATTAATCATCTTAAGATTAAAATAAATTGATTACTGAGGTCTGTCTTCCCTAGCCAAACACCCCTTTATCTGGTTGATGTTTGTTCTATGGGTAATGTCTATTCACCTTCCTCCTACACATAACCGCAGCCTATGCACGATAAAGAAAGTTGAGAGAAACTTAAGGTCATGCTTCATAATCGATAATTTGAAAAAATGTACTAGACAAACTCAGTAGGCTTGGCAACAACTATGAAGAGTGAAACCGAGTTAATGTCTCAAGTCCAATAAGGCTCTTCTTCGGAACACAAAATTTCTTCCAAAAGTGAGTCATATTGGACTAAGTGTTAACTCTGTCACAGCACAGTTGCTGCTGACTAGTTCCAACACTTTGTTGTTATTTCAGATTTCTAGCATCTACCATACTTTTATTTGAGTCTTGTACTGAATTGTTGCACTGTTTAAAGTATCACTATCACAAAAAAAAACTTTAAACTTTACAGTGACATTAAATAGAACTACTTTTGGGGACTAAATTGGTTCAAGGAGCTTCTGAGCAATCAATTGAAAAAAAAAACAGCATAATTTACATAGTGCAATTGTGCTTATGTTTGTGACAGTATCTTTGTTGCTGTTCCATCTGTCTTAGTATGTGTCCTATCAATCAGCTGGTTGGACAAACCTACTATTTTTCTAAAACATGGATTAGTTGAGAAACATCCTCTTCAGTTACATCTGATCCTCTGCAATGATATGTAGAACCTTCCATTTTCAGAATCCCTGATCTCAGATATTACTTGTTCAGTTACATTGTCACTTTTTCTTCGACTATAGCTGCAAGTGATTTTCACAATATAAAGTTCCTCAGTTAGAACATGATCCATTGTTACACCCTCAAATCCTGGCATTACAAGGATGCTACATTGAGAACTTGTTTGGGACTGGAATAAACAGATTGAATTCATCCAACTGCATTGCAGTTTCTTAACCAAATCATAGAATCATGGAATCTGTACAGTGTGGAAGCAGGACATTCGGCCCAGCAAATCCATACGCAACCTCCAAAGAGCAGAAGAGATGGATTAAGAAACTCAAAGTTTGCATATTTCGAGATCATCGGGTTGCATTTTTGCAATGTTATGCTTGTAAGCCTAAAATTAATATGTTGAAGATCTGAAACAAAAACAGAAATTGCTGGAGAAACTTAGCAGGTCTGACAACATCTCTGGAGAGAAAGCAGAGTTAATGTTTCAAGTCCAATGATGCTTCTTCATAATAATTAATGCAAACCTATCAGCTATCACAGCATCCTTTGGCTATTAAATACAACCAGTTTAACCCCAAGAACAACTAGTGATGACATTTCTCACTTAATTTTGGTAGCACACGAAATTGGCAGCAATGAACATCTTGTGTAGTAGAAACCACATTATGGGAAGACTATGCACCATGTCGATTCTATGCCTCTGGAGACTTTTCAACTGCAGCTGTCAACAAATCTCAATTCCTGTTATTTTTCTGCATCTGGTTCTATTTTTAAATACTTATCCAGTTCCTTTGTGTTCTATGGTCCATATTCCATGATAACTCTACAGAAAAAAGATTCTCCTACCTGACCCTTCTTTGACAGCGAATCCCCTAGATTTGTGCTCCCTTATTGCAGGCTTATCAATGAATGAAAATATTTTTCAATATTTATCCACTCTGAGGTGCTCATGTTCATTAAAACCCATTGCTTAGGCCCCTTGACTGCCTCTTTTCACAGTGAAATAAATCTAGGTTTTCAAATCTTGTAATGCTTTAACTCTCCTAAGTTGGTGTATCTTTACTAATGTCTTAGCTCTTTACTGTTCCCAACATTTTCCCAATAATGAGGTGACCAGAACTGCATTTGATAGAGTAATCAATGTCCCAATGTATTTCGGAATAATTTATTTGTTTTTGTACTCCGTAATCGTGTTAAGCCCAATATTGTATTTGCTTTTCAAACAGCAGTGCTCTTTTTTTAAAAAGATTAAGGTTTTAGGTTCCTGTCTTACTCACTTCTAAGAATCTTAAAATTTTAAGATAAACTTTCATTTTCCCATTTTTTAAAATAAATTACAATTTCACTTTTAAATTCAACTGATACTGTTTTCTAACAATACAGTGTTGGATTCTTCTATGTAATTTGCCACACCCCTAATTTTATATCACCAGTCTTTTGTTTCATTCCAAATCGCATTAACTGATAATGGCCTATGCAGAACTTTGAGCGATGTATTACTATTCATGTCCTACTGTGAAGAACATAAAGGGGATAAGAAAAAGGAAGATGGTCAATCAAACGTGTCCCCATGCAGTCATAGTGCAAGGCAATCAAATCTTCCCAAAGTCTGTGCTTCTTTAAAGAAAAGATGCAGCTCTAACCCAGTGATGGTAACTGCGGACCTTTAAGATTTCTGTTCATCTCGAGGGTCGCCAGCCTTTTCAAATGACTCCTTATCAGTCATCACTTAGGGGACAAAATTTTGAACAGTGTTCTAGTTGAGGTTTAACTGTAATATTGTGCAAAGACCATTTTGTGTTTTATAGTGGATTATCCAAGTGATATATTCAAAAGTTCTCTGTGTTTGTTGTAGTCTAGTGGAACAAGTTGTGGGGATTGATATTCAAGTAGTAAAACATGTTGAACTTTCTTCTATTCAATAACCATGAATTGTGTACATATGGTTGGCATTATTTCTACTCATACATAATAAACTTGCATTAATCTATATTCAGTGACATTTGCCAGATACATCTGCCGTTATTTCTTTTATCTTTGAACTGTTGACTAAGAAAGGGAGATACTGCTTTAAATCAAGGAAACTATGCAAAGAAATGTTTGCGGTTTTAAAAAAAAGGGTCATGTTTACTGGAGTACAGTAAACTTGTGAACTATGTTCAATGAAAAGGCACCATTTATAATGAGAGCAGAAGCAGGTAGAACAGAGCCAATGAGTTTTGAACTAAGGCATAATTGCTTGACAACATTTTTATTGGCTCATGATCTGATGACCATGACTTGAGGGGCCATTGCTGCACAGAACCACCTTGCCTATAATGAGAAAGCAGCAAAAATCTTTGTGGCTGTCTCCTGTGTGGAGGTTCTGACAACAGCTAGCTGGCTTTTATTCACTTTTCTCTGCCAATTGAATGAGGAGTAAATTGCCTTCGGAGAAATTGAAAGGGCAAGTTCTCAACCAGCGAATGAAAGACAACTTTAGTGTGCAAATAACCTTGCGTCAAATCGAAAGGAAGCAAAAGAATTCCTCAAATCCCATGGTCCGGTTTGATATAATGAAATAGTATTTCCCTGTTTTTTTTCACCATTTCCATCCTAGTATTCATATATTGTCCTT